GATGTTAAATTAACAGTGTAGATGTTAAATTAACACTGTGGATGTTAAATTAACAGTGTAGATGTTAAATTAACACTGTGGATGTTAAATTAACACTGTAGATGTTAAATTAACACTGTGGATGTTAAATTAACACTGTAGATGTTAAATTAACACTGTGGACGTTAAATTAACACTGTCGATGTTAAATTAACAGTGTAGATGTTGAATTAACACTGTGGATGTTAAATTAACACTACAGATGTTAAATTAACACTGTAGACGTTAAATTAACACTGTGGATGTTAAATTAACACTATAGATGTTAAATTAACCCTGTGGAGGTTAAATTAACACTGTGGATGTTAAATTAACACTGTGGACGTTAAATTAACACTGTGGATGTTAAATTAACACTGTAGATGTTAAATTAACACTGGCATTTTTGCTGTGAACGTACAGATCCCTCCTCCTACCTTTGACAGATCCACAGGTACGTCCAGGTAGTGGTCCAGGAAGTTGGCGTTCTGTTCGGGGTCGAGAAGCTCCAGCAGGGCAGAGGACGGATCGCCCTGGTAACCACGGCCAATCTTATCCACCTGGTAAACAGATGTGGATTTTAGTTTTAATCTCTAACATGGAACTCTTTAAATCAATAAGAAGGTTTTGCATTTTCCCCTTAACTTCTCCTGAACTATTGCCCCTGCAGAAATGACTTTATTTGGCTGAAAGATGCAGCAGTACCAACCTCATCGATTAACACCAGAGGGTTCTCCGTCTTTGTTTTCTTCAAACACTGGATGATCTTCCCAGGCATCGCACCAACATATGTTCTCCTGGAAACACAAACAAATCAGTTACAAACAGTGCCCTCTGCTGCCAACACCACAGGAACTGCAGAGATTTTACAGGCTTCATAAAAAAATGACTGAATTATCATCAAAACAAAATATAATTGATAAGTGTGAAAACTAAACTGAATGATTTGCTGAGTCCTGTTGAAAAAGCTGTAATTGAGTTGTTGAAACTAAAAAAAATGAAGAAAAACAGCTATAATAATCCAAATATTTCCCCGAAACACGCCTAAAGTTAGAGAAAATAGCTAAATCCTAAACACAGGTAAAGGGTAGCAAACAGCTGAAACTAGCAAAGGTTAACTAAAAGTAATTAAAAAGTTAAAGTAACACAATGAGAGGCAAAATCTAGAAGCAGTAGAAGGCTAGCTAAACTCTAACATGATTTAAAGAAAAGCTTAAAGTATCAAAAAGCTAACAAAAGCAAAAGTTCGGCTAAAACTTGCAAAATTTTAGCTAAATCCTAAAAGGCAAAATATTAGTTTAAAGTTACAAAAGGATAGCTAAGAGTTAAAATAGATAAAGGATAACTAAAAAAAGTTAAAAGGTTGTCTAATATAGTAATAAGGTAGCTAAAAGCTAAAGTAGCATCTGGAAAGGTAAAATCTAGAAATGGTAGAAAGCTAGTTAGAATGCTAAAAACAGCTACAGGGAAGGTAATGGATAAAAGTTGGAAAAAAATAGACAAAAACTGAAGGTAGAGGTAGTAAAAAGCTAAAGAAGTATCAAGAAAGGTAATATCTAGTAGTGGTAGATAGCTAGTTAAAAGCTAATAATATCAAAAGGACCGCTAAGAATGTCAAAAGGCTAGTTAAAGCTAACATAAGCAAAAGTTTACCTAAAACTTACAAATTACTTGGTAGTAGCTAAAACTAGCAAAAGGCTAGCTTAACACAATAAAAAACTAAATAATATGAGGAAAGGTAAAATCTAGAAGTGGTAGTAGGCTAGGTAAAAGCTAGCCATATCTAAAGGATAGCTAAAACTATAAATATGCTCTATAAATAGGCTAGCTACAGCTAACAGAAGCAAAGGAAAGTCTTGCTAAAACCGTAGCTAAAAGTATAATTCTGACTTGTCAGCAGGGGAAACCCCAGACTTTACAGACCTGTGTCCTTTGATCTCAGCCACGTCGGTCATGCCTCCCACACTGAACCTGAAGTACTGCCTGTTCAGGGCCCGGGCTATGGAGCGAGCGATGGACGTCTTCCCGACACCAGGAGGACCGTAGAAACACAGGATCTTGCCCTGTGTGGAGCCTCGGAGCTGGCTCACCGCCATGAACTCCTGCACACACGACAGAGAGCGGCTTCACCTCTGCAGAGTTCGACACGGTCACAGCCATTCAACACGATTGGTTTGTGTGCGATGCTGCTCACCAATATACGTTTCTTCACATCATCCATTCCGTAGTGATCTTCTTCCAGAACTTCTTTGGCTCGGTCCAGTAACAGGTTCTCTTCACTGTTTGTGCCCCACGGCATGCTGGTCAGCCAGTCCAGGTAGTTACGGGTCACACTGCAGACCACCAAGGAGGGACATTTTTGGAAGTAGAAAGAAACAAGGTAACACATTAATGAGTGAACACTAACCATTAACACAAATTAGTGGTATATATACCACTAATTTTAAAATGATTTAAGCAACTATTCACTACTTATCAAAGGTCGGTCTCTGAAAGAGAAATAACAGGACACACTTAAACTCTGATGAATGGTTGTCCAGCAACCCCAGTTTGTTGAGTTCTTCATCGATCACTTCCATTATGTGCTGAGGAACAGTCCTGTCTTTCAGTCGCTCTCGAAATTTTTCTTCAATAGCTTCTTTGTCATCTTTTTCTAGACCCAGCTCCTGAAAAGACAAAGATAATTATAGATCTGTTCAGTCAGGTGTGGATCCTTCACAGGCAGAACAGGTTGCATCAGTTAATGTCTTTATGTTGCTCCTGGTAGTTACAGAACTAAACAACGCTAACTTGAGCTTATGTTGCCGTGTCATTTCAGCTAACTTGAGCTTATGTTGCCGTGTCATTTCAGCTAACTTGAGCTTATGTTAGCTTATCATTTCAGCTAACTTTAGCTTATGATACCGTATCATTTCAGCTAACTTGAGCTTATGTTAGATTATCATTTCAGCTAACTTGAGCTTATGTTACTGTATCATCTCAGCTAACTTGAGCTTATGTTACTGTATCATTTCAGCTAACTTGAGCTTATGTTACTGTATCATTTCAGCAAAATTGTCCACATCAATAAAGACGTGAGTTTATGAAAAATTAGTAGAGATAAAACTAATTTAACAGGACCCTTGACTTCCTGTGTGTTCTGGAAAACCTGGGAACAGAATGAGGGCAGCCTGCTTTACCTTCTTGATGATTTTGAGTTGCTCCTGGAGCAGGTACTTCCTATGGGTCTGTTTGATCTTCTCCTCGACCTGAGAACGAAGCAGAAACGGATCAGTGTCTGTCAGAGAGGTGAGTGCAGGCAGGTTGATGCTTGCAAACAGAACTGTGACCTCTGACCTCACGACCGAGGCGCTGCTGCAGTTTACTCAGTTCAAACTCCTTCTTCAGAAGAGACAGCGCCTTGTAGAGACGTTTAGGGATCTATAGAGACAAAGACGATGGTCACATCAACTGTTAATATATGTTTAATTACTTAAAACTCAATGGGATCTTCCTGGGTAAATAAAGTTTAAATAAAAATGGTGCTTACGTTGGTTTCTTCCAGGACATCCTGTAGTTCATGAGACTCCGCCCCCGTCAGCGCTGCTCCCATGTCACTCAGGTAGATGGGATTATCCACCACCCTCTGACCAGCCTGCATCATCTGAAGGACCGACTCTCTAACACACACAGACACACACACAAGAACACTATTATAATAGAACCGAATGGAATAGAATAGAAACAGAAACAACCTTTATTGTCCCGCGCGGGGAAATTCAGGTGTAATAGCAGCAGCAGATACATACATCAATCCACAGAAACATGTGACATTATCAACTGTAGCAATAATAATATAGTGAAAATAAAAATAAACATAGGCTAAAATAAAAATAAGAATAATAAATATTGTACAGGACCATCAAGATGAAATTAGATAAAAATGAAAATAAAAGCAAGATACTGTGCAGAAAAATATGAAATTACAGGAAAAAACAGTGGGCGGCACGGTGGCTCAGTTGGTAGAGCTGATGCCTCTCAGCAAGAAGGTCACCGGTTCAAATCCCGGTCCGGGGACCTTTCTGGGTAGAGTTTGCATGTTCTCTCCGTGCATGCGTGGGTTCTCTCCGGGTACTCCGGCTTCCTCCCACAGACCGACAGACACACTGACAAACTGTTAGGTTAATTGATAACTCTAAATTGTCCCTAGGTGTGAG